CGGCCAGCCCGGACGGCAGCCTGACCCCCTCCGTCGCTGGCTTGGAGGGGGTCTCGGTGCCATTTGAGTTCCCAGGCCTCGTGGCTGGTCTCTGTAGTGGAGGTCCCGGTCTCTGCAAGAGTGAGGTGAGCCTGAGGGGCAGCTGGAAAAGGTGCAGGCTTTGGTGGTCTCCGGCAAAGGAACAGTGTTCCTTAACCTTGGGACAGCTGTCAGTTGATGCTGTTATCTAATTACTGTCAACAGCGGTTTTAATGCTAAAAGCAAAATTGCAAAATTGTTACGTAGATGTTTGCCTCAAGGGCAGCTTGTAAGGAGATAAAAAGTGTTGGTGTTCTGAGTTAACGCTCGGTCCTTTCCCAGCAGTGGCTTTTGGTTGCAGTTTTGTTCAGTCTTTCCCATTCCCCCTGCTTGGATTTCCTTGGCTGTACTCCAGCCACCCCTTCTCGTCTCCAAAGTGATGCTGTTTCTCTTCCCTTAGCAAACCCAACCCAGGGCGCTTGGTGGGACTCACCAGCTCAGAATAAACACGTGATCCCACGGTGAGAATCCACACAGCTCCTTTTAATAAGGGCCCGTCTTGTTGGGCAGAGCAGTTTTGTACAGCGCTCCCCTTGAAGCAGTTGGGAGAACCGTGACTGATGTAACTGCTCCAGTGCAGCGCAAATCCAGTGTTCCCGTAATAAATTTTGATCGGGTCTTGATAGGGACTGCTGGCTTGTAAGAGCCTTTTGAAAGTGGCAGGGTCTGCAGAGGTAACCTGTTAGTGCTGATGGGAGGCGTATGAAAGGTGGGCTTACGCCTGAGATCTCGCGTTGGGAGGCAAAATGTGCTGGTTTGGGATGACCCATGCTGTGTCGTTTGGTGGAAAGACTCCCGTCCTGCAGATGTGGGGAGAGATGTGTCCCCGCAGGCTTTCATCACACGTGGGCGCATGCACAAAATGTTTACCCTTCTTGCAGGAATGTATTTACCTTGGTCAGCGATTCCCCGTGTGTGTGTTGACAAAGGCATGTATTCCATTTGCAAGATTTATTGGTTTCCAGCATTACTGCCCAGGGCTGTTCATATTAAAGCCGACTGACATCATCGGAGTGCAAGACCCGAGCGCAGAGCACAAGTGTCTTTCCTGCTGGCCTATTCTCATGCTTGTTGGGGCTCGGGGGCGGAGGGCTAAGCCTGCTTTCTCACCTGCACCCTTTCTGTTCCAGCTGTTCTCACCCAGCAGATCGTTCCCTGGCTTAAACAGTTCGAATGACCACGTTCCTGCTGTCCCCAACACCCCGCTCCTCATAAGCTACCAGGTGAGAACGATGGTGGGCTTCAGGAGGATCGGGCACCAGGCTCTCGACTCAGTAACGTCGCAGTGTGGAGGGCAGCGGTTCTGACCGTTTTCCCTTCGGAGGGAGTGAGGCGAGAGTCAGCCAGACACAAGCTGCTGCCCTCTCCCAGAAGCATTTTACCTTTTCCGTGGTGAAACCTCGCTATGTTAGAGCATGATTTGGGCTTCATTTGCAGCTAAACCAGCAGCCTACAGAGGCTGCTCTTCTGGAATTACACGGCTTTGCTTTATGTTGCCGAGTACCACGCTGAGTTCAAAGCTGGTCTAGGTCCCTTACTCAGGGCGAGATTAGAGCGCAGCTGGGCAGGATTCGTGCTGGGCCTCAGCCCCTCTGAAAAGGCATGTAAACATCTTACCCTAATTTGGGTGGGCTGCGTTGGAAGTACCTCTTAAAGCACTTGCTGGGCCCCCGGGGTGGGCGCTCGCAGATGGTGTTCTTTGTGTCACTGTAGTCTATAAACGAGATGAATTGTATTTGAAGCGTTTGTGAATTTGCATCATTTAAATGGTAGTTTCTGGCACCGTGTAGCACTGCGTGTGTCCGCAATTCAACAAGAACGTTAACATTTGGTCAATGCTGTGTTTCTTTTCAGTCTCAGGCTCCCGCAGAGGAGGAGGATGAAGGTGAGGAGGAAGAAACAGAAGAGCTGGGGCAAACGGAGACCTATGCAGAATATATACCTTCCAAGTGTGAGTGTCTCGCCATCACACGGGTGTGGGAAGTTCTGTTAACTCCATTGTGGACCAAGCGAATTCACTGCTCCCTTATTTTCCTGCAAGCAGTAGATGGTGTTTGCTGTGGCACATCCCAAGCTTGTGATTTTCTAGAAGAACTTTACCAGTGTGCTGATGTTTTGTTGGTGCTTTGCTATTTTGACAGAATGCTTTTCTGTTGCTTGCTTTTGGGGGGGACGTGACTTGTGTTCGGCAATCTGAAATTTCAATGGAACAAAAGAGTGAAGAGCTGGGCTTGTCTCTTCCGTTCCTGAGCAGAGGGCTACAGACTCGTAACACAGGGTCTGCAGTCCTTTTTGGGGTGCCCTGTGGGAGCGAAGGCCTTGAGTTACCTGTTCTCTGTATTGTCATTTAGCCAAGATTGGGAAGCACCACCCTGACCTCGTGGTTGAAACGAGCACTCTGTCCAGTGTCCCCCCACCCGACATCACCTACAGCCTTTCCCTGCCATGCTCTGTTGCTGACAAAGGGTCACTCTCTGCACTACAGCTGGAAGCAATCATTTATGCCTGCCAGGTACGTGGCTCCACCTTGCCCAGCTTGCTTGTCTTACTCTAGAAAGAAACTGCCTTTGTGTGGGCAGATGTCCAAGTGTATGTTAAAATAGCCTGTAACATAGGTGACGAAGCTTCAGAAACTTTGGGGTGTGGCATTTTAAATGCCTTTTGAAAGAATTATTTGAAGCCGGGGACTTCTGTGGGCTCTGTTTCCCAAAGAGGCAAGAACTCTTGACTTTTGTTGCAGGGGGGAGTGCTTTACATTTTGGGAGCCTAGGGGCCTTTTGCAGGAAATGCATGTGCATCGATGGGATATGTGAAGGAGGAGTCAAGTGGTTCTCTTGTAAGCTCACATGAAAGCTGTTAGAAAAGGCAAATCCAGTTTAATTTCCAGTTCTGTTCTTGATTTTGCAGCAACATGAAGTTTTATTACCCAATGGGCAGCGAGCTGGGTTCCTCATTGGGGACGGTGCTGGAGTTGGAAAGGGCAGGACAGTTGCGGGCATCATCTTTGAAAATTACCTTAAAGGGAGGAAAAAAGCTCTGTGGTAAGTTGTTTGGGTTTTGGTTTGGTGGGGTTTTTTTTGTCTTTCCCGTAAGACCTTGGAGTTAGTTTGGATCTGGAAGTAAGGAATTCCTTAGTGCTGATGTTGGCTTTAGAGTTGACTCATGCTGTGGCCTTTGGTAAGTCGTTTCCACCTCTTTGTGCCTGTTTGCTGTCTGCGAAATGGGAATATTTCCCCTGCAGCGGTGATGGCGAATGAGTCACTATGAAATAGCAGATTATGTACTACTTGGAGCACAACGTCAAGCCTATCCCCGCTCCCTTTGAAGTCAGCCGAGTGGTATTCGTGGACTTCCCTGGTGCAGACTCAGGGCCCTAGAGTACGGGGTTTTACTGCAGAATACACGCAGCCTGTTGTAAGTGGCAGACTGGAGTCTGCTGTAGGATCTTGCATTGAGGTGTGTGGGCAGTTGGGAACGTGATGGGCTTGCACACCTACTGTTGCTTTAGTCAGAGCTGTAGATCACTGTGCATGCCCTGAGTAGCTCCTTAGGAGGTAACCAGGCCCACATCTTGCCTTGCAGGTTCAGCGTCTCCAATGATCTCAGGTATGATGCTGAGAGAGACCTGAAGGACATTGAAGCTTCCCACATTCCTGTGCATGCTTTGAATAAGGTAGGGGAGAGCAGTTGCAATGGTGTTGTGGAAAATCAGCCTGCAGTAGCACTTAGGTGGATCCGCCTTAGCGTGTAAAGCAGCAGTCGCTTCTGCCTCCGCGTGGCTGGTGGCACAGGCAGTAGCAGACATCAAGCTACTTGCTGTTCCCTTCTCTCAGCGTGTTCTTCCCACTCTGGACCCTTGCTATTTTTATACGCTCTGCAGAGCTGTGCTGTGAGCGCAGAGCTGTTCCCTGCAGGGATCGGGAAGTGCCTCCAGGCAAGAGCAGGACTTGAACCTTTCCTGCCGTTCCTGGAGAGTCCTGCAGAGGGAACAGCTCCTGTTAGATGGGGCCGTGCTCTGCTCCCCTGGACTAACACTTCCCAGCCTCGGCTCCATGGAACCGCTTTTCAGAGCACTCGAGTAAGGGAGCACATGCAAATGCACAGATTGGTGCCTGGCAGGGGGCTGCGGACGCACGGCGCCATGGCTGAGCACGTGGGCCTTTCCCCCCAGCTGAGCAAATCAGAGACTTTTCAGACTTCCCTCCAGTTACTCAGGGATGAGGATGAAGTATTTCTCAAAAGAAACAACCAGCAGTCGTGTCGTGGCTATCCGCAGGGTTCTTCGTAGCCTGTGCTTTAACCTCGTCCAGTGCATCAGCCTTGCCCAGTGTTTGCCGCACCACTGGCCAGTTCACTGAAACACTCTCCTCTGGTTTTTAACAGTGTTGAACAGCCAGCTCTTATGAAGTCAATGGAAACCACATGTGTTTGACACCTCTGAATGCACTCACTCTCTTAAGAGACTGAAAGGGATGTTTGTTTTCAGACCAAAAAGGCTTTAAGTGGAACGTTCTTCAGATTGGGACTGTGGCTTTTTTCCTCTACCTTTTATTTCAGTACAGGTGGGACCCGTGACAGTAAGATTGGCAACCATCTCACCTGGTCAGAGAGAAAATGATTTTCTAGAAGTAATTAAAACAGAGGGAAGGGTTCAAAACAATTAAGACATTCTAAACTGTTGCTTAAAAAAGCGAAGCAACTTCAGCTGGCCAGAAAGCTGAAGTCCTCGCGTGGTCTCCACATTTCACTGCGTGCATCCAGATGTGCTGACACATTGGCTAGTGGAGCCTGTCCAGGCATTTGAAGTCCCTGTCATCACCGTATCTCAGTGCCAAATAGAAGTGCTAAAGACGCTGGCTACCAAAAGCCTTTTGTGTGTTCTGCTCTCAGATTGGGTTTTGTTCTCGGGGGGCGGGAGCGTGCGTCCTGCACCATCGGTGGCATTGATTGCCGGCAAAGAATGGGCACGACGTACCGGGGACAAGCGTCATGAGTGTGTATGCTCTTGTTCTTCCTTTCTGCAGATTAAATATGGTGACACAGCTACCTCAGAAGGAGTCCTCTTCGCCACTTACTCTGCGCTGATCGGTGAAAGCCAAGCAGGCGGGCAGCACAGGACACGCTTAAAACAAATTTTGGACTGGTGCAGGGAAAATTTTGATGGAGTTGTATCCTTTTAAAAAGAAAAAAAAAAATGAGAGAGGGGAGAATTGCGTGCGTGTGATTGTAATTCACCGAGGAACAAAGAGCTCAGGGCCATCTGAAGTCACTGGGAGCAGCTGCTGAGCCTGGTGCCTGCGGTAGATATTTAAATGCTGTAAGCACATGCATCCCCCCACGCTCTGCTCTCCTCCTCCTCCTCTGAAGGCTGCAGTGTTAACTGGAGGAGGGGAGGAATGCAGCTGGGATTAACCTTTTCAGCATTCTTCTCCCTCAGCAATACAAGACAAGACACACCTTGGGAGTGAAGGGAGAGGGAGGGGGAAATGACTTTGGGCTCCGAGGAGCAGAGGGCTAGGAAAAACCAACAGATTTCCTGCCGCGTGGGGAAGGAGTCAGTCCTGTTGATATTGGGACTGGTTCTTCAGCTGGCTGGAGGAGGCTGGGTTGTGTTTTCTGTCTGCTCCCATCCTCATGATGAAAATAGATCTATTCTCCTTAACTGACGTTCACCTCCAGATTGTGTTTGATGAATGCCACAAAGCCAAAAATGCCAGCTCTACTAAAATGGGCAAAGCAGTGCTGGACCTTCAGAACAAACTGCCTCGAGCAAGGGTCGTTTATGCCAGCGCCACAGGTAAGCTTCTCTCGGCATTGCGGGGGCACCATGCGTAAGCAGTTGCCAGTCACCGCTGTGATCTGAAGGATGCCCTTGAGATGTGAGCCCATACGCTGAGAGCACACGTTCGTGCAAGATGAGGTGAATGGCACTGCAGTGCTAGAGGGGAGCCTAGGGTGCCAAGACCTCCCCTGAGCCCCATCACTGCCCATTACTCGTGACTTTTTGGCAAGCCAGACCAATTTCTCTCCAGTTTAACTTGTTCCTGGCCAGCTGTTCAGCTGTACGATGATGCTTGCCCACTTAGCTGACGCTTGCCTGCTTAGCGTATGGAGGACAATGTTTGGAAAGGTACCTGGGTCTCCTGAGGCATGATGGCAAATGACCTCCTCCTTAAGAGTTCACTGGACTTGAGTCAGAACTATTCACCATTTCTGTGGTTTTTCTAACAGTGAATTCTGTTCAAACAGGTGCCTCTGAGCCAAAAAACATGATTTACATGAGCCGCCTGGGGATCTGGGGGGAGGGCACCCCTTTCAGAGCATTTGATGAGTTCCTGCATGCAATTGAAAAGAGGTAAGTCCCGTCCAGTGTCCCTTTTCATGTGGCTTACGTTTTGTGGCAGCCTGTGGTGCAATGCCCGAGGACAGTGTCTGAGGACAGCTTGAGCCAGGAGAGGTGGTGGTTCTGCAGAGGCACCCACCCGTGCTGCCCTGTAGCAGGGGAAGGGGTTTCACAGCTGTCTTCCTCCCCCAGGGGAGTTGGTGCAATGGAGATCGTGGCAATGGACATGAAGGTCAGTGGAATGTACATTGCCAGGCAGCTCAGCTTCACTGGAGTGACCTTCCGAATCGAGGAGATCCCGCTGGATCAGCAGTACAAGATTGTCTACGACAAGGCAGCGAAGTTGGTGAGCCAGTCACACTGCGGCGGGGAGGCTGATGTTTAATTGCGCTTTGGGCACAGCCAGTAGTTATGTGGGAGGATTTGAGGACCCTAAACGTGGCCATGACCACAGACTTCGTTTGTAAAAAAAGAAAAGGGTACACATGCTCAGCTTACGTAAAAACTTATCATCTATTTTTTTGCTTCTGTTTAAAAGCTCTGTATTTGCAAACCAGAGCTTGCAACATCATGCTAGCGCAGAAAGGAATGACCAGGCTGTTCATTCAGCCTAACTCAGTGACATAAATACCGATGGTATATCAGATTATCAAACCTCAGGCTGTTCTAATAACCTCCTGCACAGCAGTAATGAAAAAGAAAGCTAAGATATTAACCCAGCCTTTCTTGGTATTGTCTGCAGTGGGCAGAGGCCTTGATGGTGTTCCAGCAGGCAGCCGACTGGATCGGCTTGGAGTCTCGGAAGTCCTTGTGGGGTCAGTTCTGGTCAGCTCACCAGCGCTTCTTCAAGTATCTCTGCATTGCTGCTAAAGTCCGGCGACTCGTTGAGCTTGCCAAGGAGGAGCTGGCGAAGGATAAGGTGTGTAACAGCCTCCCTGCAGGGGCAGCGGCCGTCAGCCTTACGTTACAAGTGATTTTATTGTAGTCTGCAACCAAAGGGAGTTAATTGTTGTTCAGCTTGACTTGAAAGCAATCTCAAACCTCTTTAAGGATGAATTTCTCTCCAGATTAACCAGAATGAAGTGCAGCGTCCAGGTTTCCGAGGACATTGATGGTAAATGATACTGGGGAGTTAAGGTGGTCTTGTCTTCTGAGGTGTTACCCGCCGCTCATTTATGGTAGATGTGGGCAAGCTGATCTGAAACAGTATTTTGGGTCACGTTCGAGCTAGAAGAGGTACCAGATCCTTCACCTTGAGCGCAGCCCTGTCTTGTCATCCTTCTGGATGCAAGTTGGAAATTTTAGGCAGAAACTCCTTAGTTCGCTTCTGTAATCAGAGTCATCCTCGCTCTGTTTGAGCAGATGTATGGTTTTGGATGCTGAAGGATTTGAGATGGTGCTTGATCAGGAGCTCTGCTACAGGCCCAACACGTACCTGGGACAGGGTCCAAGGGAACCATGCCTGGGACTGCGAAATACAAACTCTTGAGCCTGTAGCTGTTTGTCCTGACGCCGACTGCAGTACCCCCTCCCTGACGCCTTCCTCTGTGATCCCTTGTGTTTCTCTGCAGTGTATCGTCATCGGCCTGCAGTCCACCGGGGAGGCTCGCACCAGAGAAGTCCTGGATGAGAATGATGGGCATCTTAATTGTTTTGTCTCTGCTGCAGAGTGAGTTAAAAATCCCTGTTTTTCTGCTGGGGGGGATGCATGGCAGGCTGGAGGCGTGCTAGGGAAAGCCCTGCCCTGGGGCCACTTACACTTGCTAAGTTAAAACCCAGTTTCATCATGCCTCGCCCTATGCAAGCTGCAAATGGAGAGGATGCTTAGCTGGGTCCTTGAGGCACTATTTCTTCAGCATGACTTTGTGAGCTAGATCCTGGATTTTGATGTTTCCTGTGGTCCAGACTTGCGTGAGCAGCCTGATCCGAGGCTCTGCGCGCTGAGAGGAATTGGCAGGTGTAGGAGAGCCAGAAATGTGAGCTCAGGTGTGCTTTGTGTGGGTCTGACTCTGGAAAATGGGGCTGTTGACAATGAAGAAATGAGCAAGAGAGTCTCATGTCGTGACAGAGGCTGGGATGATAATGTGAGCCAGCATTGCTGGAGCAGTGAGAGGGAGGAGTGATCCAAGGAGTTTGGATTTGCCAGTGCTGGCTTTTGGCACATGTATGAGGCAGGACACGTTCGATTGCTGGGCTTCTGCAGAGTCCTGGTTGCCTTGCCTTTGTTCCTAGCTAAGGGCGAGTTGGTTGTGCCTGAAGTGAAGCCAGCGGCGGGACGACTCCTACCCTGAGGGCAGTTCCTGCACAATGGGTGGTGAAAACCTGGGACGCTGGGTTGAGTTGTGTTTCCTCTGTTCCACAGGCGACAGGGCTGCTACTGTTCTGTGTGGAAGTGACTTTTAGTGCAGGTGAAAGCAATGAGAGATGCCAGAGATCAGGCAAAGCTTTCCTCCCTTATTGACGGAGGGGTTGTGTTGGTCTGTGTCACTCTGCTGTCTCCAGTCCATTCCTGGAAAACAAACACCAGCTTGGTGACAGTGCGCAAGGCAATCTGACTGCTTGGATTGATTTCATCTCTTGGATTGTTTTTCGTGTCACAGAGTTCAGAGGAATGGAGTCTAGAGGGCTATGTGGTCCCTGTGAGCCTTGCTCAGCCTTCGAAGGAGGAAGGGTCTGTTAGTGATCACGCACGCTGCTCGGCTCTGCCCCCAGTTTGAGCTCTTTGCTCAGTGGCGCTGGCCAGATAACTGAGTGTCTCCTGGCATCTGCTGAGCCTCCAACTGCGGCGTCCTGGTTTTACAGCACTTCAGGGGATTTCTTGAGGGGGGAGTGTGCTGGGAAGAAGCAGTTGTTTAAAAGATGCCGAGAAATGGGGTTAAAAATAAATGGATCGTTCAGTGAGTGAATACTAGCCCAGCCCTTTGTCCGCAGGGAAGACGGGGAGTGCAAGTGTCAGGAAAATGAGCAAGGTTTCATGGCAGGGAGGCTCCAGACCTGAGAGTGAGTCTTTGCATTTTGAGCCCGGGGTCACCCTAGCGCGCAGGACAAAAGGGCTCTGCCCACTGCCCTGCAATCGCCGTCACTCAATGGCCAGCACAGGGCTCTGCCCCTTCGGGGGGCCGTGCTGCCTCTGTCTCCTCCAGCCCCTCACACCAAGGGTCTTAGAGCTCCCTCCCTGGTTCCCCAGACTCCCTTTTTCTCACACGGGCGAGTTGTCATGTCCATACCTCTCAGCTGTTGCTTTCAACGTTTGTTCTTTTGGTTTTTTTGTTTTCAACCAGAGCTCATTCAGCCCTGCCTTCTCATTGCAGCGGGGGTTCATCCCCACCCAACAAAATCAGCATTTAAGCGTTTGCTCTTTATTTGCAGAACAGCCCACAGAAACATTTGTTTTCCACCTCTTATGACTTTTTCTGTTCACCTGAGACCACTACGTATCCGTGTTTTGTCGCTTCTCTCTGTTTCATGGACAGGCAGGCCCACGGCCAGTTAAGCAGAGGAACTGGTGGAGCACATTTGTTGGTCTCTGCTGTCAGAGCATGGAGAGGGGCTGGGACACTGGGACTTACTGGATTTTTCAGCAGTGATGTAACAGCTTCCCAGTATAGCATTTCCCATTTAAAACTCCCTCTTAGTTGCTATATAAAGGCCTTGCAACTTGGGCATGCCACAGGGTCTGCTGCAGCGCCTCCCTGGAACGGCCCCGCTCCCCCGGCCCGCGGGGAGGCCGCGGCAGAGCGCGTTTTTCCCAGCGTTGCAGTGCTTGCATCCCTCAGCACGCCCGTTTCACAGCTGAGGATCCGCTGGTGCAGCCCACGCTCCCGTGGCAGAAGCCTTTGGTGAAACAGGGTCAGCCTGAGCTGCTGCTGTTCTGGAGAGCCACGCCGTGCCAGCGGCTGGCTGACCACGGGCTAGTAGTTGTGGTGGAGGATTTACCCCTCTTTCATTACATGTGGTGCTATCTCAAATACACATTGCTACGTGATAACCGGCAGATGTTCCTGTTCCTGGTAGCTAGAATAAATTTTGCATCTTACTTTCAGAGGCGTCTTTCTATCACTAATTCAGAAGCACTTTCCTTCAACCAAAAGAAAGAGAGAAAAAGGAACTGGCATTAAAAGAAAACGTAAGAGCACACTCCACTGCCCAGCATCTGACCTCCTGCCTTGCTGCTTCACCCCAGCCACTCAGCTTTTTCTTTTTCTTTTTCCCTTTCCCTTCATGCTTTTTGCTACTCTGCCCTGGTTTCAGTTCGCCCTCCTGCACATCTCCCATCACTCTCTCTCATCTGGAGGATGGCAGATCTAGGTCATTCACCCTTTCCTCCCTCTAACCCACCTCCCTGTCGCAGCGTAGGTCCTAGCCTCCACCACTTGCCCAGTAGCTGTGCCCCTTCCCCTCGGCCGCTTCCTTGCCTAGACTGGTGGGCAGATGACACAGGAGTCCTGGCTGCATGCCTGAAGCCCTCTTACAGCGAGGGGGGGGTTCTCCACTACCCCTTACTTATATCATGGCAGGTGTCCTGGGGGAAAAAAGTCACTTCCCTGCCAAATTATTGGCTGCGGCTTCAGGTAAGAAGAGTTTTGGGATTTCTCCTCCAGTGGGGTGAGGGAAAGGGGGAAGAGGGGGGACGGCAGCACTGGCAGATTGTGGGGGCTATCCTGAGTGGCTGCTGTTGCAGAGCAGCCTGTGCAAGCTGGGTCGTGAACCCTCTCACGTAGCAGGGGCATGTCGTACTGTGCTTGGAAGTAAACAACGTCCCGAAACACTGGCACCTTCCTGTGTCCTGCACGTTCCTCTGGAGGCAGTCAGACCTGTGGACTCCTTCCCCTGAGGAGCTAGCGCTGCTTAGAGCCGGCTGTGTGTTCATCCTGATGTGTGCAACTAGCTTCAGCCCTGATAAAGATTGCCTTGTTCTTTCTCTCTCTTCCTTTCTCTTTCTCTCCCTCCCGCCCTCTCCCTCCCTTCCTAACTGCCCCCACCCAAGAGGCTCTGTCTTTCCAAGATCAGCCTTTCATTTGGGGCAATCTCAGCTGTTTTGTGATTTCTCCTCCTCCTCTCTCTGAGCTGGCACTTGCTGTTCTGCATTGAAGCACGAGGCTGGGGACTCTCCCTTGACCGTGCTCGCTCTCCCTTGCAGGGAAGCCGAGGGGCCGCTGTGCCAAGGCTCTGAAGGGCGTGTGTGACCCCGTGGGTGTGATCAAGATCAGCGATGACAGCAGCACCGACTCCGACATGGGCCTCGACAGTGACTTCAACTCCTCCCCAGAGTCCGTGTTTGAGACAGACGATGTCATCTTCGTTGAGCACACCTACAACGGCTTCGCAGCTGAGGACAGAAGTAAGCAGGGCAGCAGCAGGGGGTTATTAGCTGCTTCCTCCCTGGGGGGGGGACTGGGAACCGCAGCCACTTTGTTCTGTAGAGCGTGGCACCCGGGGCACGGGAAGGCAGCTGGAGGCAGCCACCCACCCCAGTGCCCTGCAAGCGGGGGCAGCGGCAGATCAGATGTCACCCTTTTTGGGGGGGGGTCTGGCTAAGGGTGTTGCAGGGTCAGCTGCTGTGAGGAGACTCTCTTGGCCTCACCTTGGAATGGTGAAGCTCCTTCTGTCCTTGGACAGCCTTATGGTCTTGGCTAAATTTTATCCTGTGATGGTCAGACCTGAGCTTGTGAGGTTGATTCACGCTAACCTGCTGCGATCAGCGAGCACGAAGGATTTGCCCTGCATGCTCCTTTCCCCTCCAAAACAGGGGGAAGCACAGAGGGAATTCACTCCGTGCTCAGCAGCCTTTACTGCAAATCAAGGTGTCTTTGCCTGCTCATCAGATAGTGCCCCCAGAAGCCCTTTGGGACAACTTTTCCCCCCCCTCTCTGATTTGCAGTTACTGGGTAACTCTAAACTTTTGCATTTTACGTTGCAGGTAATTTTCACATACTGCCTTCCCAGAAAGAGATGCATGGCCTGAGAGAACTAGAACACGTGGAAAAGATGAAGCAGGACCTCCTAGCAAAAGTAAAAGCACTGGGCAAAGAGCTACCTCTCAATACCTTGGATGAACTCATCAATCACTTTGGGGGCCCGGAGCATGTGGCTGAGGTACTCCTCACAATCAAGAGGGTATTTTGGTGTCACTGGGTGACAGGAAAAGGGGCCAGCAAAGCAGGTTCCTGCTGGAAGAGGGTTTCCTCTCCTTGCAAGCTGAAAAAGCTGTTGAGAATTGACTTTCTAAATGGACATGCTGTGCCGTGCAGGTCTCTCCCCTCTGCTAACAACCTCTCTCCCTGTGCGGTGTGTGCAGATGACGGGGCGGAAGGGCCGGGTGGTTTGCAGACCGGACGGCTCCGTCATGTTCGAGTCCCGTGCAGAGCAAGGCCTCTCTATAGACCACGTCAACCTGAAGGAGAAGGAGCGTTTTATGAAAGGGGAAAAGGTGAGTCAGGTTCGAGCTAAGGAAGCCTCCAAACATCTGCACGGGAGTAGGTATGCTGAGAGGGGAAGGAGAGGGAGGGGGCCTTGGCATGCCTCAGGCCAACAGGGGTCTGCAGCGTTCTGTCTGTCTGTTTGACCTGCTGGGAGGTGACAAGGACTCCTGGGTCCCTTCATGGGCTGGGGCTGCCGTTGTGCTTTGGGCTGTTTCTTGAAGCAGTTTTGCAGATGTCCAGGAACCTCACTCTCCTTTCTCACTTGTTGTCTCTCTTCTTAGCTTGTAGCAATAATCTCCGAGGCCTCCAGCTCAGGTATCTCTCTCCAAGCAGACAGACGGGTGAAAAACCAGAAGCGCCGGGTTCACATGACGCTGGAGTTGCCCTGGAGCGCAGACCGGGCCATACAGCAGTTTGGTGAGGGCTGGATTTGCTTGGTTGCTGTCCCCTTCCCCTGAGCGTGTTTGCGACCATGAAGCCTTGGGCAGCCCTGGGAAGGAAAGGCGTGCGTGGCCGCCCGAGCCAGGCTTGTGCTGCAGCCAGGGCAGGTGTATTTAGCTTTCTGAGATACGGCGCCTTGCAGAGCACACTGCTCCAGTGTTTTGCCAGGGTGGAAATGCAGACACAAAACAGTTGTGACTGATTTATCTTGGGGGGAAGGTCTGTGATGACTTCAGGAGTGATTTGCAGTGTGGGAAGGAGGAACCCTCCCATACATGTTAGCCGTGTGTCCTCATGAAACATGTCGGGGTGCCTAGGGATTTCTGTTCCACCCTCGGGAGGCTCTGTAGGATGGGGAGGGACAGTTCCTCAGTATGTGAGCACAGAAGAAATCATGCATGTCCTAGCTCAAACTGGGGAGCCACTCCTCAGCCCCAGAGGGTCAGGGCTATAAACTCAACTCTGCCAAGGTCTCAGCAGCACCAAGGTGATGAATGTGACTGTGCCCCTGTCCTTTTCCCCCAAAGAGACCTCTCCTTTGAAAACCAGCGTGACATGGAAAGTTGTTTTGGTGCTCTCACTTCTTGCTCAGCTTCCCTTCCCGTACCGGCCAGGCTGTACCAACCTCTCCCTTTGCTTCTGCTCTCATGTCCCCGTAGGTCGAACACACCGATCGAACCAGGTTTTTGCTCCAGAATACGTCTTCCTTATCTCTGAGCTGGCAGGGGAGAGGAGGTTTGCATCCATCGTGGCAAAACGTCTGGAGAGCCTAGTAAGTGCCCCGCAGCAAAGAGATGAACATGTCTGTTCCAATTCTCTCTGAAGAGCTTCCATTTTGGTGTTCCCACTGGCATGGCCAGGGTAATTAGTACAGGGATTTCATCACCCCTGACTGAAGACATTGGTTGCAATTGTGGAACACACAATGCTTTTAGCATCCTGGGATTTGGGAAAGGAAGTGAAGAAGAATACGTAACCAAGGCATCAGGAGGAATTTCAGGGAAGCAGAACCTAATTCCAGATGCTGGAATTCCCCCACTGTCACAGGAGCGTAAACCCATCTGTTTCCAGAAAGTTGATGAAATCATTAATTTGTCTCTGTTTCCATTTTTCTTCACTTCTGATAAATCCCCGGATACTTTGGTAAAGTCTCAGTATTCCAGAGGAACACGGCCTCCCCACAGCACGTTCTTGTCCTGGCCTCTTCTGAGACATCCCTTTGGCCATGCTTCCCTGCTGTTTTGCAACAGCTAAAACTAAGAACTTTTTGCTTGTTCTGCCTTCCTAGGGTGCCTTAACTCACGGAGACCGGCGGGCCACTGAATCCCGAGACCTCAGCAAGTACAACTTTGAAAATAAGGTAACTTGCGGCTGTTGTTGGGGGCGCTCAGCCGAGAAGGGGTTGAGGTGTTCAGCAAGTGCCTTCAGTGGGAGCCAGAGCAGGAAGATCATTGCTGGCATCTACAGGCAGGCTCTGGCCTAGCACCCAGCCCCCTGCGTGTAGCCTCACGTACCGCATACAGAACCGAGTCGATAATCGGTGTGGTGCATCTGAGCACCACGCTGGCGAGAGGCTTGTGCTCCTGCTGGGAAGGGCTCCTGAGCCTCTGCCCCCAAGGGAGCTGGTGCCAGCAGCGGGGTACGGACCTGCAGGCTCCTGTACTCTGGTCCCCCTGGGGACAGAGGATGCCCCTTACACATGGCTCCCTCCTTGGCACAACCACCAGGTCGGTGGCCTTTCCTGGGGGTGATGGCTTTCTCTGCAGTGCCCACGGAAGTGTGACACCCTCCGCCTGCTGCTGGGCTGCCGGTGTAGGTTTGTCCCATGCGTGATTCTCGTCTCCCTTCACAGTACGGGGCTAAAGCACTGGACAGGGTCCTCTCCACTATCCTCAACCACACGGAGAACAGAGTTCCTGTGCCCAAGAGCTATGACAGAGGGGAGGCTGCGTTTTTCCATGGTAAGAACATTATCAGCTCTGGGATTTCTTTGCATCTTGCTGGCCAGGTCAGTCTCAGGTTTGAGACGCTTGAAGAACCGAGCAGCAGGCTGGGGCAGAAGGTCAGAGAGAGAGAACAGTACCACTGGCTTAGTGGCTCACTAGTGAGCAGGGCAATTGGCCACCCAGATGCATGTCACCCTGCCAGAGGCAGGGGAAAACAGGTCTGGGACAAGCTTAGCTATGCAATGTCGGGCAGAGCTGGAGGGGGAGCAGCCCTTCAGGACTGCCGAGGAGAAGCTGAACCCTAAAATGCACAAGCTGTCTTCTGCTGTTCCAGAAATGAAGCAAGGTCTCATCTCTGTGGGGATCTGCTGCAATCAGATGAAGTACGGCACCGTCTCGGTGGAGAAGGGTATGTGCCAAACCTTTCCTGTCCAGCATAGGGGAGAAGTGAAAGGGGGGGTTGTCCTGGCCCACCCGGCCCATCTGGATGGGAGCGCAGGCTGGAGGGCGTTGCTGTGCAGCCAGGGCAGGGTGTTTGCTTTGAGGGGAGGGTCCTGCGGGGATTAGCCCACACTGTGGGTCACATTCCCCTGCAGCAGCCTGGCAGCTGGCCACAGCTGGAGAAACAGCCCCAGGGCTGCTCTCTTGTGCATTAGTGCTGTGCTGCCGTCGGGAGGGGACGTTGGGTGGCTCTCTTTGAGAGCGTGCTGGTGGGCTGCGTGCCCAGCTGCACCGTGCTCCCTGACCCGCCGTGCTCTTGCAGACTGCTCCATCACCAAGTTCCTGAACCGCATCCTGGGCCTGGAGGTGGACAAACAGAACATGCTCTTCCAGTATTTTTCTGACACCTTTGACTATCTGATTGAAAAGGACAAGAAGGAGGGCAAATACGACATGGGCATCCTAGGTACGGAGAAAGAGGGGTGGCTGGACGTTTCTCTGCTCCTCCCTGTGCTGACTGATGGCTGTTCCAGGGCCATCTCGGGCACTGTGGTGTCCCCACGCAGCACAGATCTTGAGACTCCTGCAGGGAGGGAGGAGGTACGGGAAGATGTGTCTTACAGCAGCCTTTTTTCCTACAGATTTAGCTCCAGGAGTGGATGAGATCTATGAGGAGAGCAAGGAGGTCTTCCTGACCCCTGGGCACCCGCAGGATGGGCAGGTCGTGTTTTATAAGGTAGGCAGCCTGCACAGCTCTCTCTGCAGTCCAGTCTTCTCCAGTGCTTCCCAGTCTGAGGCTGTGAGCTGCTGGGTCCCTCCCCCTGCCCTGTGGCTTTGTGTTGTTTGTGTCGCATCTGCCGTGGCCATCGGCAGGTGACTGTACCCATGAGCACAGTCTGGCGGTGCCTGTTTCGAGGCTGCAACAGCACCAAGTTTGTGTTGAGGGTGTGATTCGGGAGACAGACACTGATGCACATGTCCTGTGCTCTGAAGTTACAGAATCCCTCTGTTTGTCCTTGTTTAGATCAGTGTCGACAGAGGCTTAAAGTGGGAGGAAGCTTATGAGAAGTCACTCAAACTGACAGGATCCTTCGATGGGTTCTACCTCTCCTACAAGGTAGGTCCCTGGGCTCTGCCAGGGTGGCACCTCAGCCTGGAGGGCGACACCAACGGGAGAAGGTCCGCCATGGCTGTAAGAGGTCTATGTCTGACCTCTTGCTGGGGGCTGGGAGATGCTTCCAAGAACCTCCATCCTGGAAGGAAGGGGGTTAGTTTAGAGAAATATGGGCTTGGGGAGAGAGGCTGTGACTGTAACCATCAGCTCTGCCCTGACAGATGCGAGGCTGCAAACATACCTGTCTGCTGGCAGAGCAGAGCCGCGGGAAGAACTTCATCCTCTACAAGCCAAATATTGGGAAGCAGAGCCAGCCTGAGAGCCTGGACAGTCTGCAGAAGAAGTACCGGCGGGTAGGTGGGAGCTGCAGCCCTCCAGTGTGGAGAGAGGGCAAAGCCTCTTTCTCTGGGCAGGGGTGGCTTTGGAAGGACATTTACTGTAACCCCTTCGCAGCTAATCGTAGCCCAGCTGTGGACTGGGCAGAGGTAGTGGTAGCACCCGGGTGTCCTGACTCCCAGCCCTGGATTTCAAGTCTCAGCTGCACAGTTAGACAGTGGAAAATCTCTAATGCTGTGTGGTTTCTTCTGCAGGTGCTGCCCGAGGAAGCCAAGGAGCACTGGGAGAGCAGCTACCACTTCTCCTTGAAGAAGTGTAACCATGCTGTCTGGTAAGGCTTCTGCAGCCCCAACCTGTCCTGCCCTCCCCAGGGCAGAGCTTGGTGTTGGGTCCCTGGCTGTGGCAGTGGGGAAGGACCACGCCGGGGAGGCTGAGGGTGGGGGGTCCTGCTCTGCCGTGGGAGCCTGTGCTGACTCGGGTGGCTTCCTCCCATCCGAACTGAAGGAACAGGAGCTGCAAGCTGATCCAGGAGGGGAAGGAGTGCTTCCAGGGCATGCGCCTGCGCCACTACTACATGCTGTGTGGGGCCCTGCTGCGGGTCTGGAGCAAGATCGCCAGCATCATGGCAGACATCACCAACACCAGCTACCTGCAGATCGTCCGCCTCAAGACCAAGGAGAAGAAGAAACAAGTCGGTGGGTGAAGTGCTGGGAAGGGGAAGGGGAGCAGGGTATTTTAGGAGAAGGAAGAAGGGGTCCAGCTGCCCAGTGCCAAAATTCCCCTCCTAAACATGGCTATGTCCCGGCCTGGAGTACCCACTGCTTAGGTAACCCCCATGTGAAGGAGGGGAGCTGGGGCTACCCCGCCCTGTGTTTGGGCACTGAGCAGAGGGTGTGAGCAGGCCTGAGCTGCTCCCTCCATGCCCATGTGAAGCGGTACTGTTGCTGCCTGCCACGGGCCGGCCATGGAGCTGCTTTTGCTCTGGTTGCAGTCCCATCTGCCTGCTCTGCAGCCCAGCCGAGAGGCAAAGCAGGCTGGGAGCGTGCTTGGCAAATGGGCCCCGGTGCTGCCGCCCATCCCTCTGTCCCCACAGTGCCCCACCCCATCCTGCAGCGCCGTGGGGACTGATGCACCTTCCTCCCCTAGGGATAAAGATCCCCGAGAGCTGTGTCCGTAAGGTGCTGGAGGAGCTGAAGCAGATGGACGAGAACGTGAAGCGAAAGCACAACCGGCTCCTCCAGGCTCAAGAGCAGAGCCCGCAGTTCTCCCTGCCGCTGCCCATCCTGCCACAGCCCCTGGACCTCACGCAGACGGGGCCTGGGGTCCCCCTGCCCGGGCACTCCCTGCGCCAGGACGAGATTCTGGACTTGACCTACAGCCCTCCCAGCAACAGCATTCCTGACGTGGTGATGAACCCTGAGCCCGGTGCATTGTGCTTCCCCTCGGAGCCCATTCTCCAGCCACACCAGCAGCACAGATTACCCTTCAGCTTCAGCCACCCTTCTGCCTTCAAGAGCCCGGCCCCCATCCTGGAGGGGAACGTGCCTTTGAGCTCCTCGCTGCATGAACACCTGCCTCTGCCTCACCCGGGACCCTTGCAGACGCTGCAGCAGCAGCAGGAAGATTTTATCCAACAGGATGGGAACATCAATTTTAGAGAGATCCTGGAGGACATGCTAAGGACGTTAAATGGGGGCCCCCAGGAGAACATACTCCCCCAGGAGCGCCAGAGTGTGATCCAGTTCAGTGGGCCTTTCCCAGAGTTCTGAAAGCCCAGCTGGGCATGCCAGGTGATGCTCGGCCGCTGCGGATCCATATCCTTTGGTGCAGAGGTGAGAGCTGGGGAGCCCCAGCTTTTCTACTGGTTTGGACTGACCCTTTTCTGTTTTTGAGGGAAGAAAAAAAAAAAAACCCTTTAGTTCCTTAAAGCAAAGTTTATTTATATATAATATCCAGTCAGGCATGTATAGATTTGTATGTAACATGCGCTTGGGGGGAGTTGAGTGCTGCCAAGTTCAGCTGATCTGGTCTCTGCTGTGTTCGAGTCCTGCTCAAAGGTCCGTGCCCGTGTAGGACTGAGGAGAGGTCCCCTCCTCTGCGCCTGTCCCCCTGCAGACTACTGAGTTTCCAAGCTGGGTGGTGCCTTCCCCAGCCCCCCAGCCCAGAGAGCTGGTCCCCCCGAGAGCTGGCTGACCAAACCGTGTCTGCATCGGCTGCTGCCAGCTTTCCTCTTGGGCTGCCCCAGTCCTGCCGTGGACCTTGAGGCTGCTCTGGAGGGCTGGGTCTGAAGGCGGGGGTGAAGGGGAAGGGAATGCTGTCCCAGAGGAGTCGGGAGCCATGGAGCTCAAGTGTCCCTCTGTGCAGGGCTGAGCAGGCGTAGCTGAGAAGCAAAACTGACTGTGCCTGCTCTGCCCTTCCCAGGAAGGGACACCGATGCTTCTGAGGCTGCCTGAGCTCCATGGGAGAGGGCAGGAGCTGGCTGCACCTGCGCCTCATTTGTCAGTATCGTGGCAGAACTTGTGAGTTTGTCAGAGCTCAGCCACACTGGGACCATGGGGGGATCCCCCGGAGCAGAAGGGCCACGTGTCCCATCAGCCTGTCCTGCACTTTAGCCTCGCAAGGTCGCTGTGGCTGACCGTGCTTTGTTCAACTTCTTGCTGTCGCGTGGTGTCCTTTCACCTGGCCGTCTCACCAGTCCTGCCTGCAGGGCTTGTCCTTGGCTGGGCCGTGGAGGCAGGCCCGGGTGTCTGGATCTGGGTGACCCAGCCCTGCCCACTGCCAGCCTTGGTGAGAGCTGCTCCCCAGCCCCAGAAGGGAAGAGCTCCCTGGTGAGCACTGGGGACGTGCAGTATCGCTGCTCATGCTGCAAATTCACCCTCTGATACCAAAGAGCAAAGGTCTGCTTTGCAAAGCACTGCCCCAGGCACCCCCCTGCCCCTTGGCCAGGAGCGG